AGTGAAGCGGATTTTATACATCTTATTGCTATAAGAGCTAGTTAACAGCCAGGTTCCGGTCCAGAGACCAAGATACGGTGGGAGGAACTTAGGAGAAAAAGATTTCTCGTTCAGTAAGAAAGCCTGTAAAGGATAAAACTCACGTAGCGGCGAAACCGTGTTGTTCTGCCATGATCAGCATCACAGATTCGAGTGGTTTCTGTTCGTCTATGTACAATTTGTAGATAGTCGGCTTCATCCTATCCCATTCTTCTTGACTGTGTTGTTTGGGCAGCCCAATGTTCCGAGCCACTACTTGTACCGAAATATCGAGACACGGCAAGTCTAGGCCAAATTGTAAGTAATCAAACAACATCTAGGATTCAAGAGCCCATATGTTATATAGTTCTTACATAACAGTTCTGTGCTGGTGTGGGGTCGATGAGCCATTGCCCGCTGGGTCTGTTGTAGTATATTTGCGGACATAGCTGTGTTTTTACGAATTTTAGGTAGGAGTCCCACCAGGATTGGATGTGTAAGAAGGCTGAAGAAGAGTATAGTGTGGGGTCTGGCGCCTGACCATTTATATTAATTTACTTGCGTCATGTCTTTCCCGTCGGGTCATACAATTGAGACGCCATAAGCACTTCCCATATTAGCTAAGCCGGGATACCACGTACAGCCTGCCCTTAAATAGAAGAGAAAGCAGCCAGTCAGGCAACAGTCAGTGTTGGAACAGAGGCGTCTCACACCTATGCCATGATACCCACTACTCAAATCTCTTTCCCAGTCACATTGGTCAGAGAACATATTATAAGCATACCTATTACATACTTAGTAGAGCCTGCCCTAGCTCGGGTGGACAGATATGTAGGTAGAACTGTCGCCCCCAAATCAACCTACTCATTACTATTATATTTGTATCATTCAATACGTTCCAACGCGAAACGTGATATTATGCTGGATAGCTAATGGCATGGTATTACCCAGGTGTTGGTCCCCCTACGTCAGGTATGGGGGTCGCAGGGGGCTTAAAGGATTCCCCAAGGTGGGAATAGCTAGTACTATTTCTATATAAGAGCCTTTTCACTTCCTCGTCGGTGGGAGATTAACATTGAGCCTTAGTCTATACTACGACCTACTTGCTACCTCTCGGTGACTTGACTTCACTCTGGAGACCAGCTCCCTTGATACCCCCACGGAGAAGGTCTATATAAAGGTCACGCCCTGGTATATGCGTGAAGTCTCTATAGTAGTGTAGTATCTCAGCCCCCATTCACTATAGACGTGAAGGCCGCAACTCTCACAGGTTGCGCCGGCTGATAAGGTTGCATGAGCCAAGCCAGCCGAGAGCTGAGTCGGGAACCGATTTCAATAGGAAGACTTCGCTTGGCATTCATAATGTGGTGTGCTAATTGATAATCCATTGATAAACTCATGGTAGTTGGTAATATATACCGGTAAGATGAGTATCCTATCCAGCTGGCCGGAACAAGATTGGAGTGTACGGGAGTAAAACCACATGCAGGTGCTCTTATTGCACTACATCTCAATATTCATGACGAGCAAAGTAGCTCTGTGCAACCATCCAGGAGCCTTCTATATCTCTCTCAGTATTTTAGAGTATACATGCATACTCTCAATGTGTCTAATCTCTAAGGTTCATAGATGTGTTTCGGATGGACTATGAGCAAGGGCTTTATTCAAAACATTTGTCAGTGTGGCTGAGACTTATACCTCATATTATTCGGCGCATTTCTCTCTGTGTGACTCGTATAGTACGTGTAAATCATCAGCATCATATCAGCTAGTTCAGATACCAAGAGCTAAAAGAATGTTCAGAGATGAACTAGGCCAAATCTTCCTTCTACGAAGTGATTCGATAATCAATACTACAATAGGTTCATAGCAACCGACGGTTTAGGTAGGTGAAATAGACATGCTGTTGCACAAAGATCCCCGGAAGTTCGCAGGCATAAATTCAATTAAGTCTTTACGCATTTTAGATTACCAGACGACTAAATTATAAGTAGGTATATAACATCACCTTAGGGCCAATAACTTAGTAAATGAGGACTATATAACTGACAACAAGTCTATTACAGACTAATGAAAATATTCTTTAAGATTTACCAATATGAAACCGGGTTATTATTAGCTGAGTTAGTGCTATCTATAAACTTCTCATTCTGGATCTCAAATTGGGCAAAGTAGGTGTTAGTTTAACTTTAGCGGTCAGGAAAAGCAATATTGATAATTCGGTACAAAGACATCTCCTGCGCATTGATGCTAATAGGGCATACTCCAACCACGAACCTTACATTACTGAGCGGTTCCAAACTGTCATAAACTCGGGCGGACGTGGATTCAATATCGACCCCGTGACTTATAGGATTGCAGATCTTGCGGTATTGGAAAATCGAGTTATGGCTGTTAGAGCTGGCGCAATATGCCCCGTGACAGCGTCTGGCGACGACAGCTTGGGCAATATTCATCATGTAGATAAGGCAATGCTACTTTGTGATAGCGGGGAAGGGATTTTTTCTTGCATATAGTTATTTCCGGTGCGCCATTGGGGATGGGCGTACGTGTACATTTTAGGTAGGTACCACAGATGAGGGGACTTACATGTAGTTTCTGCTGCTGTGCAAATTCGGATAGCGATGTTGTTGCAGAAGTGATGGAGATCTCAGTTGGGGCTCATGGTCACTAGTCTGCAAAGGGAATTCAGCGCCGGGCGTGGGAAAGCTTGTCTTGGAGGTAGTGCCGGCATATGCGACGACATGGAGACCGGCGTCATGGAAAAATATGTCCGAAGATAGGAAGACGATGGCTACCGATGGCACAACTGGAATCGCTGTGTAGGTATAAGAAAGCTCTCTTTGTTCCATTGGTGTCCGGTTTGCTCACTCAAGATAGTTGACTTAACGACGCTTGACGACGCGAGGCGAGACTGAAAATGTACACCTTTGGGATCGTCGCAGCGCTGGTACTAACCGCTCATGCGGCACGCCCATTTCTGGAGGAACCGGACACAGGCCTTGACCGCACAGTCGGGGGTCTGGCTGTCGGTGCTCTGCCCAACCTCACAGACATGGTCTGTCTACACGACTTCGAATGGGCTGCCCGTAACTACCTGCCGGCTCTCAACTACACCTACTGTATGTCCGCAACGAAATCCGGCCTGTCTCCGTCTCATATATACCAACTGACAACTCTTCCAGATCGCCAGGCTGCCGGAGGTGAAGGTTCATACCGGAACAACATGGAGGTGTTTGCGAATTACCGCTTCGTTCCGAGGCAGATGCAGGATGTCACTTCATTGAACTCTACCTTGCCGTGCGTGCCCTCAGATTGCATGACCGCTTTATGACTATCTTCGCGGCAGCTAACTGAGGATTAGTACTTCTATTCTGGGCTACAACTTCAGCCTACCTTTCTTCATTGCACCAGCGTCTCGTGGAGCTTATGGCCACCCGACAGCCGAGGCTGGGCTTGTCAAGGCGGCTGGCCGAGAGGGCATCCTATACGCTGTAAATTCATTCATGTTAGCTATCGAACGAACCTTTTACTAATTGGATATGCAGAGATCTCAATTCGCCTCACTCTCGATCGAGGAGGTTCACGCGCTCAAGGTACCTGGTCAGGTTCTTTTTCAGCAGGTGAGCAAATGACTACACTCCTGCTGTTAGATTCCGCTAATGCTCTTTTCCAAGTTCTATCGCGCACCGACACTTGAAGAAGACCAGGCCACTCTTGACGAGATCGCCAATGTGGGCGCCCAGGGGATTATGCTGACCGTCGACACGCAGTCATACGGCTCAAGGATAAGGGGCATTCGCTATGGTTTCGATATCACGTACGTTCAGCCATTCTTTCCCCGCGACCTTCTACTAACTGCAGCTAAACAGTGAGAATCGCGGTTACCGAAACGTGACTGTAAGGACACAGCGAATTTGAGTTCCCAAAGTGCTTCGCTAACTTCAAATACCACTACAGTGGGACTACTATAAGACCCTCCGTAACATGACAAAGCTCCCGATCGTGCTCAAGGGCATCACCAACGTCCACGAGGCCAGGGATGCCGTTGCTAATGGCGCCCCCGCAATCTATCTCTCCAATCACGGTGGTCGCCAACTCGAGACGAGCCCTTCACCCCTCGAGGTAGCCCACGAGATCTACCTGCAGGCGCCCGAGATCTTCCAACAGATTGAGGTTTACGCCGACGGTGGCGTTCGCTACGGATCTGATATTCTCAAGCTCCTGGCTTTCGGCGTTCGCGCTGTTGGCCTCGGTCGCCCTTTCATGTTCGCCAATGTCTTTGGCGTTGATGGTGTGCAGCGCGCTATCCAACTCTTGAAAAATGAGGTGTCTCGCGATGCTTCTAACCTAGGTCTTGCAGACCTGAAGGCGCTCAACACTTCTTGGGTATGGCTCGGAAATTTACTTGGCGTGCCCACCCCCTTATTTTGCTTCTATAATACTGATTTCGCGACTGCAGATTCAAACTGTGCAAAGTGCCTGGGTCGGATTTCCTTGATTTGACAGCAGGCGGCTAATGTAGTCTGAAGACAATATACACTACTACGCCGAACGTCGGTCGGTTCCTGAGAAGTGTTATTGCCGTGCTGCACCGCGTTATGGTGATTGATGATGGGTGATGGGCGGGTGGGTGGACTCGTCAAAAATCAGGAGGCTAGTTTTAAGAAGGATAAAAAGACTAATAATGAGGATGGAGAGAGGACAGGGGAGGTTAGGAGGAGGGGTAAATAAATATATAACATACGGCGGAAAGGGGGTTTTTATCTAAGACATATATATATGTATATAATATATATATATATATGCATGAACACACACACACACACACACAGACGTTCGTTTTTATTTATTTATTTGAATAATAAATTTAAGTTGATTTTTTTAAAGTGTAAAACGTAACGATATGAATAATAATAATAATAACGTACGTAGTAAGTAATTGAAAGGCTTGTGAGTAAAAACAAAAGAAAGAAGTTGTGCTCTCGATCGGGGAATCGAACCCCGGCCACCTGCGTATTGCCTCCAGCGAGGCTGGCGTTGCCCGTACTCAAGCAGAGTTCGACCAACACTTGACAAGCAGGTATCCTTACCACTAGACCAATCGAGACGTGTGACCAATCAACTGTTGAGCTGCAGGGGTTTTAACTATACCTATATGCTTATTTTCCACAACAAACAGATGGAGGATAGATAGATAGGTCGACCCATTGCGCCAACAATTATCTACCTGAGAATTCCTGACATCTTTTCTTCAATTCTCTAACAACAGTGGAATCCATCGATTCAGCAGCCAACGCGTTGAGTAAAGGCGCCTACTTACTTACTACTTACATACCTACCTACTTACCACCTTACCTACCTACGGTGCATCCATCCATCCCGCTGTTGCGCAAGAATGGGATGGGCACGTTTCCTCGAATAAAGTAAGGGTCCGAAGCGCAAGGTAAGGGAAGATATAGTAATATCCGAACTATTGACTACCTAAGCTACGTATGGCTTTTGCGCAAAGTAGGTAGGTAGGCACACAATTTCTAAGAGAATAAATTAACTTTAGCGAATGTGCGCAACAAGAAGACGCATTCGAAGCCTACATAGAAATAACTTATAGACTGACACATGACATGACTATCTACCTAGTAGACTATAAGACGGAGCAGGAAAGTAAGCTGTTTTATATCATGGTCTGTTGAGGAAATTCATTGGTGAAGACCGGGATTTCTGCTCTTGTGCACTAGCCTGTCGAGCCTGTAGATACCTATGTAGACTACCTAGTAAGCTGCGCAAATGCCTGTGCACAGCGCCGGCGCAGCGACAACTGGATGCGCATTTGCCGGTATCTACAGCTATGCAGATGATCTAAATAGAAGGTAGGTATGAAAAGATCTCTGCTATACAGATGCAAGGTAAGTGGTATGTATGTACCTAAGGTATTTTACAGCACGGTTAGTGGAGGATACCTAAGTAGATGTTTGTGGGATGTCGGAGTTCCTCGTTATTGGTGATCCCCTGTACAGCGAGAGTCGATCTCTATACGCCCTTGAATTCTCTCTGCACAGCGCGGCTATTTGGGAACGAGCGTCGTCAGTAAAAGGACAACAGATATGGGCAGGAACGCCCTAGTTTATGTATATAATACCTAAAGTACCTTCTGCAGTGCTAAAGCCAATGGCCCTCCATGATCTCTACAACAACAATACAACAACAATACAACCACCACTGGAATAGCATTGCCTAGGGATGTATGGTGCGCGGTCAAGATCGACACATCCGCCACCAGTCGCGTGTAAATATAAGTCAGCACAAACTACATATGTACCTAAACTAAACTTACCCTAGCAACAAGAATGCGACTGAATAAGTATTCCTCCATCCCTCTTCCCGCGATCGTAGAGCAATCAATAGCCGCCATCGCTATAGGTTGAGAATAGGACCCCTCACGTAGCCCCAATGGCGGTGAAGTGGGCACGGATGGTCTACGTCTACGCTCGTGGCACATACCTCTTCGATCGTTGGGTCCAGCCAGCCAGCAATCTAGCCGCCCTTAAACGCACGATGAAAGGACATCGTTTTCTTGACTTATATCGCCACAACATGTGGCAAGCCAGGAGAATGGCCCCCCTACATTTATGTAGTGCAAGTACATACACACGCGCGCACAGAGGAAAAGAGGAAAAGAGGAAAAGAGGAAAAGAAACATTGTCTCAAGCGAGTCGCACATGCGCTCGCTCCAAACTCGAGAGTCGTACTGTAGGTATGACACGAGACAACAAATAAAAGTTGACTCGAGGTGCCAATACCAATCGATAAGTACATAAGGGAAAGAAACCCATTGCTTGCTTGCTTTCTGTCTTGCTCCTAGTACATACTACATGTGGACTTTATCCCGGTCATGTCGTGTCGTGTTGTGCGCGCGGGCCGCAGAATCAGCCGGACCGGCTATGATATGTGGCACGGCACGGACACCTTTTTCATGTCGCTCTGGGGGCCGAGGATGGTTGCACGTACAGTAAGGGAGTGTTGGCCGAGGGCGAGAGTTTGCGCTCGATTCCCGGCCAGCAACATCTATCTATCGTCATAGCATCTATATGCCATGCGACCCTGCCCCCACCGTCCACACCACCACATACCAGATCTTGGATAAGACAATGTTAGGCTCTCACTGCCTGATGCTGGTTCGAATATAAGCTGTCTGTCTTGGGAGTTCGTTTGAGATGATCATCGACATTTACCGTGACATTGCACGTGGAGCGTTAGAGTGCTTGCCTCGAGATTGATAGATGATCTACAGGTAAAAGGGGATTACCCATGATGGCTCCGGACAGGATCCCCTCGGTCGGGCTTCATGTACTCTACGAGCCGGAAGAGAGCGCGAGCGCACTGATCGAGTGAGTGGGCATTTTCCTTTCTTTTTCATCTTGATACACTTGCGGACTCATTCATACCTCTAGCGTGGTCTTCGTCCATGGGTTCGGAGGACATCCTATGAGCAGTTGGCAGTACGATGGCCGAGACACACTTAACAATATTACTATACCGAAGACCGTCGTCCCGCCGGTGACGTCGCGTGACGGTCCGCTAAGACAACTCCTCAAGAAAACGAGATCGACGGATCGGGAGGCTGCGACATTGAGGGAGAGTCCAAGACATGTCGAGCTGACCGCGTCCTCGCGCGTCTTCTGGCCTCGAGACTTATTGCCCACGGCGTGTCCCGAGGCGCGCATCATGACGTGGGGGTATCACACGCTTCACAGCGGGAACATGCCACTGGCCGCACAGCCGGACCTCTTCGCGCACGTGAGCGATCTTCTTCGTGAACTTAGTGGGCTTCGACATGATACCGGCTCACAAGATCGGCCGTTAATTTTCATTTCGCATTCTCTTGGAGGGGTTATCGTGAAAGAGGTGAGCCTTAACTAATCTAACCATAATCACTACCAGAGCGTATGCGGAGATACTGATACTTAGTGTAGGTGCTGCGCGAGGCCGAGTTCAGCAATGCGGAATGTCAGCGGGACATCCTCAGCTCCACGGCCGCTGTCGTGTTCTTCGGGTGTCCGCACCGGGCTGCGGAGGACGTGTCACTGGCTGACACGGTTGTGTCGATGGCGGAGGCATCCCTGAGCATCAAGACAGAGACCTCCGTACTATCTGCTTTGTGCGGCGTGAATAACCCTAGGTGGATAGAAGCGCAAGAGTCATTCCTTCGGCTGTGGCATTACTTCAACTTTACGGTTAAGACTTATCAAGAAAGACGAAGCGGTACACATAAGTCAATCGTTAGTCTTAGTCTATCTCCTGTTAGCAGATGATCGTAAGCTTATCGATTCATGCAGAATAGCCGCGTAGAGTCGAGTAAGCTCGGCGACGACAGAGAAGACGCAGTAGAGTTGTCTACAGAGCACCGAACTATGTGTCATTTCAAATCGGCGAACGATGCTAGCTTCGAATCGGTGACAAAGGTTCTTCAAAGTATAGTTGAAGATGAAAAGTCCAAGGTAATATAATCTTACCAAGTTTCCGTCGTTGCACGTGGCTAACAAGGATGGTAGCGTCGTGGCCTCAGTGCTGAAGAGTCAAGTACGCGCAGTAATGCTCCTCCTTTTTCCTATATGCGAGCTAATAACTACAAGGCTGCTTACAACAACTCGATAATTACCGAACCCACGGTGCTCGTTCATCTATCACAGAGTGTCCCCTGGGCACATGCAAGGGAATATGCAGCACGGGGCAATTCTGCGATTGGTATCGTCGCCAAGGAGGCAGCAATGAACACATACTCTGGCTGACCGGTGCTCTAGGCTCGGGGAAATCAACCCAGCTGCGACACATGAAATACCAGATGGAAAAGCAATGGAAATCCGCCACGACGTCGATTATATATTGTACTGCAGAAGGTCAGGGTTTTGATCGAGAGTCTGTGACGGAACCGGGGCTGGGCAGCGTCCGGTGCGCCACGGTGATCCGTCGTATTCTCTCCCAACTGTTCGCGCAGGATCTAAGTCTCCGGGCAAAACTATCCCCTCTGTGCCATGGCGGCATCAGCGATGCTGATCTAATTCGGTTTTTTATCGAGGAGTATATTGTCAGCAAGCCTCGGACGTTAGCGAGGAGGACGTTTATCTTGATTGATGCTGAAGATCGCTGCGACGACGCTTATATCCAGGAGCTCTTATTCTACCTCTGTCAGTTGACACGGAACTCGAGTTTCAGTGTGTGTCTAGCAAGCCGACCCATTAGTGACGGTGTTCCGTCGAATATAACCAAGCTAGAGCTCGAAAACCATAACCTTGAGGATATCGGGCGGTTGATACAGTCCCGTCTGAAAGCATACGGGGAGGACTGGAATGAAACCACGAAAATAATCGCCGAGAAGGCCCGCGGTAGTTTCTTATGGGCACAATTCGCAACGGATTTCCTCAATGGAGTCATCGATGATGGTTGTCCGCAGGACCTCGTGAACAAGGCCTTGGGAGAGCTTCCGGCAGATGTATACGGGCTGTATGAATTGACATTGTCATCCCTCTCACCTAAAGAAAAAGCAGATGCTTCCACCATTATGCGATGGGTCATCTTGTCGCCGGAGCCCATGATACTCAATGATCTGATGATGGCAGTGCGCCGTAAGCAGTTCTCTGTGTCGTTACTTACCATTTCCTACAACGCGTTTAGAGAGTGAAGAGCTCAACTCGGGCCAGAATCACGCTTTGGGAGCTCTATGATGTTCTTATGCACTTATAAACCACGCTTGAGATAGGAAATCACTGACCATAAGTGTTGTAGTAGGACGTTCGCGTTATCTCCTTTTCCGAGATCCGGAGAGTGCACTGGATGTCGGGTTACCTTGGTCTATGCAGGAATTGCAAAAGACGGGGAAACATTTCGACACGCCATCACAGTTCTACCAATGGCTTTGCTCCCGCACGCATGGTCTACTCGAGGCGAGGCCGGTGGAATACGATGGTAAGAAACAACAGTCCCTCGGACTTCAACATATATACCCGATAAACGAGTCCGTGAGATCATTCTTCTTATCCGGCAGGGGTTTCGCCGCGCTGTCCCCTAGCGGAACAACAATCACACCGTTCGACGAGGAAGCCGTCCATCTCT